AAATAAGTTTAAAATAATTTTATTTTAAATTAAAGTCTATATTATAGGCTTTTTATTATGTTCTAAGAATGTAATATTTATATCTTTGCAGTTACCTAAAATTGATTTAAGTTACCTATAAGGTTGCATAAAATTCCCAATTAGAAATAGCCAAAACAATAAGAAGACACAAATAGGGAATAGGATATTGTCCAGCATCGAGTACAGATGTAGTAAGTGGCGGCTCCCTTTCTAATACCATGCTACTTCTTGTCTCATCCATGAACTGGAATTGGGACATAGGCTTGATGATCTAACTTTGGATTTAGCTGGAACTTGCTTCTTTGCTGGAGTTTATTTTGTATTTTTGTTGTGAATGGCACAGGGTAATTACTGATATTTAGTTTGTGAAAATACCAGTGAGTCTAAGGAACTGTATTTTGGTCTTTTTGAGACAGGGTCTCTCTGTAGCCCCAGCTGGCCTGGAACTTGTGTAGACTAGGCTGGCCTTGAACTCAGAGAGTGATCTACCTGCCTCTGTCTCCCAAGTGCTAGGATTAAAGGCATGTGACATCACACCCACCATCTAAGGAACTTTTAAACTAAATTAAAGTAATGTGCTGAAATTCCCATAACTTAAAAGTGATTACAGTACTAGTCTGGAACAACTGAATGCATTTTCATTATACTAAGGTTTTGCATTCTCTCTTTGCATATGGGTTTATATTGGCGAGCTATTGGACAGATTGGTGAAGTTGAAAGGACACTGGATAGAAAGTGAGAAATCCTGGACTCTCGAGCTGGATTTGCCACTAATTCCGTTGTGTTACTTTATGCAGACATTTCCCTTCTGTGAACCTCAGTTTCCCCATCTGTAACTGTCAAACTTCTCAAATTTGGTTATCTCTCAAAAATTTATCCCAGGCATTTTTCTGTACAACATGACTCCTTTCCCTTTTGCATTCTCATTATTTGGGTTTCAGACAACACTTTTCTGTAAAAAGAAGGAAAATGCCTCATTTGAGTTGGTATATGTAGGAGGGGAGAGGCAGCTGGCAGAATAACATCTCTTCTTGATTGGCTTCTAACTATCCCCAAAATGAAGAGGTAGCCAATAAACTACACAAGTCCTTGGGTCCTTTTAGATAGTGATATTCTGGGCAGTGGTGTAGAGGGGAGATTAACTGTTAATGTGGTCCAGCTGGGGGTTTGAGGCACATTTGGCCTCTTCATAGACTCCTTCCAGAGCTCTGCTTCTACTCCCCCTCCAAAGCCAAATGGCTGCCATACCCTCCCCTGCTCTTAACACTGGGGCTTTGTCCCTTTGCATTGGAGGGGGATGGCTGCTGAGGGCAAAGAAGGCATGACTCAGAGCCTGGGGTAGAAAACTCTGTGAACAAAGAGGTTTATTAAGTTCTAAAACCACAAGACTTGGTAATTCGTTGTTAGTGTTGGTTTGCTTTATGTACTCTGTGTGTGTGTGTCGGGGGGTGGTTCTGTAGGAAGCCCAGATGCTGGAAAGCCCTGGGCAGATTAGTGCACTACTTTTTTTGTGTGATGTGGTCTTGCTATACAGCCTTGGGCACTTAACTATGTAGTCCAGACTGCCGTAGAACTCAGGGCAATCTTCCTGTCTCAGTCTCCTGATTGCTGGAATTACAGATGTATGCTACCACTCCTGGCTGGCATGTTACTTTTGAAAGTTAATGCCTCCCAACCAGCCCTTGAGAAAGGACTTTAGTCTTTCATAATCATCGAGGAAAGGATTGAGAGGGAAACCAGGAGGTTTATAATTTCTCATTTGTAAGACCAGTGTCTTGGGAAATATCATTTATTGAACACATACTATGGACTATCCTTAGCTAGGTGCTTCATTATTTTATAATTAGCAAATAAAATTTTTATGTATTTATCATGCACAGTGAGATGTTTTGAAGTGTTTGCATCATGGAGTGCAAAATTGAGATAGTTAGGTATATGACCAAACAGAATGAAATCAGTATGTCCAGTTAGTATCTCCATGCCCATGCTTACTACAACGTTATTAATAATAGCTGAGATGTGGAATAAACCTAAATGTCCATTAACAAATAAATAGATAAGGAAATGTAGCATTGTATAATGGAATACTATTTAGCGATGAAACAAGGAAAAGTCTTCCCTTTAAAACAATTTTCACAAACCTTGAAACTGTTATTTTAAAATAACTCATCCATATGCTGGGCGTGGTGGTGCATGCCTTTGTTCCCAGGAGGCGGATCTCTGTGACTACAAGGACAGCCTGGTCTACATAGTGAGTTCCAGGCCAGCTGGGGCTACAGGGAGACCTTGTTTCCAAAAAAAAAACTCAGTCATATAAAGACAACATGCATAATTTCTGACATGAAATCTAAAAATGTTAATCCCATAGAACTTCAGCAGAATGGTGGTTACCAATGTTCGGGCAGTTAGGGGCTGCAGGGTAGTGATGTTGGCCAAAAGATGTAAAATTTCGTTAATATTAAGTGAGTTTGAAGCTGGCTATGGTGACATACACCCGCAATCCATGTACTTGGAAGAAAGAGGTCCAGTGATCAGGAATTCAAGGTTAATGAGGGCAGCCTGAGCTACATGAAGCCCTCTCTCAACAAATGAACAAAAAAGGGGCTTTGAGGTCTACTGTACAACACGGTGACTGTATATTGTACTCTTGAAAAGTGTTGAGAGTTGACGTGTTCCCAGCACATAAATGATGACTATGTACGGTAATCCATGGAGCTGGATGCTTTAATCCTCACAGTTATCCTGTCCTTAAGAGGACAAAGAACATATGTTACTAGGTCACATCATTAGTAGTTGTGATGTGGAGTACCAAGTACAGTTCTGAACAACCATACATTTCTCCCACTGCACTATAGTGTGTAGGGTGATGAGGAGGATGTTATAGCTTGGTGAAGATTCAGGAAGATGTGTTTTCTGTCCTTAGACTCTGGAGAGGCTCCCATAGAATACAGACTACAGCCAGTTTCTGGGAGATTGGCAGGAGCAGAGCCGTGATCTCCTAAGTGAAAACTATAGGAGAAAAG